AAAAACTATTAACAATAAAATAATATAGTTTCCATAATCCTATGGTCGATTCTCAAAGGAGTTGTAACATATAATATCTGTGTTTTTTAACATACATATTTACATGTATAAAACAGATTAAACTAAGTGTTCCGAAACAAAATTTTATGCAGCAACGATTTCAGACATGCACCACTTGCTTTTAGAAAATATACCAACATATTTTTTTTAATAAAGGAATTTCGAAAAAAATAAGAATAATATTTGCAGTAAATGTATATTTCACACTTTAAAACAAAAAGTTTGAATACAGTAAACCAAAGTATAAGGATGTGTTCCCCATGCACGTTCATTGACTAATAGACTGAATTAAACAGCATACGAATTTGTTTTAGATGTTTTAATTTAAAGACCAAAGATTTTTCCATTCCAAATTTGGATATGACGTTGCTTGAATTAGGCGTATGAAAATTTCAAAGAATTCACGACTCTGTTTAATATGTAAATTGTCAATTAATAGTGCTTGATTGTTCTGTATAATTATACAAATCTTGGACCATTTAAGTGATAAAGATTACGGCCACTATAAAAAGTCTCTATAACCAGCAAAATCTTTAACTAGTTCTTTCTATGTTTAGAAATGTGAAAATACCTGTCATGAAATATGCAAGTAAGAAATAGCATCAAATTAATAACAGAATGTGAAAGTGTAACATATGAATTCAAACTTTCTTAACTATTTTCAATGTCGATTGATCTACAGTGGGCAAATTCGTATTTCAAAGAAATCTATCATTTGGATTTTTTTTGAAAAAGCTGATTTAAAAAATAATGTGCTAATTAGAATGACCATTTATCTGATGAATTATAATATTTTGTTCTAGAATACTTCATTATCTGCTTTATTTATTAATATTTTTAATATTGGATCATGTATCTCACACTTGCCAACAATTTCCGTGTACTATATTTTTTCGTGGTTTGTTATTATGTTTTAATACTAGAAACTATCAACGTAATTGAGTCGTGTCACGACAAAACCGACATAATGGGTTTGCATCCGCGCAGTCTGATCAGGATCCATGCTGTTCGCTATCAGTTTCTCTACTTGTAATAGGGTTTGTAAGCGAACAGCATGGATCCTGATCAGACTGCGCGGATGCGCAGGCTGGTCTGGATCCATGCTGGTCGCAAACCCATTATGTTGCTTTTGTCATGATTCATCGTATTTCATACCTTCCATTTTAGACCAATGCTCATATATAATACTTACTTTAAAATTAAGCTGTTTTTTGCAGTTTAATGACTTCCACAACCTCAACTGAATTCAATACTTTTTATGTTTTAGTAAAGCTTTTAATATCTTTCAAATAAAGATAAACAGGATAATTTTATTCTTATTTATGAAATATTTCATTGTGTAATATAGTATATCACGTGACATGTAAGATGACATTTATTGGATATATATTTCACATTAAAAACTGTATTAAAACCAGATATATCTGGTTTTAATACAGTTCTTAATGTGAAATATACTACAGTTGACGTAGCATTCAATACTATGACATACTTTAACTTGGTTATCTTATGTTATATATACCTGTCAAATGCATACTGATTACACGGTCAATGCACACAATATATTAATCTCCGATATATTTTTGTTGGCAAGTTTCGTGAGATGTGCACTGAGCGTTATGACTCATAAACTATGGGATAGTCTATCTTTTGTCAGATCGAGACCACTTAGGTCCATGCTCTTTTCTTATTCATATAATCAACATTATTGTAGCTATGATTGTTTTTTACGTTTTTCGTTTTTAACATATTTTGCACTTATTTGGTAAAAAAAGATAACATGGTTTAAAAATTTACATTTAAAATTTGTTCGGATTTTAATCAATAAATGTATTTTCTATGCCGTAAAATACAATACAAAACGAGATAAAATAGTGTTTATGAATTGTTTCATATCCACTAGATAATTTTGAATGCATTTTGCCATTTCCATTAAAATAGACTGCAGAAACATAAAGATAAAGGTACAAAGGTCTAAAAGAATGGCAACAGTAAGTCTGGAACAACATACCTCTCGTATATTAGACAACCCTTTAACGGACTGTGTTATTGCGGATAATACGACCACCTAAACATTAAGCTTATGTGACTTTTCTAAACATTAGTTATAAACTCCATATTTCGTTCTCGTAAACTACACTAGACCAATCATAATAAAAAATATGGTAAAACTAATACCTTCACAAATGTTTTCACGATTAAATAAATGACAAACATTATCTACATTTTGAGAAAAAAAGTCGTCAAAACATTTCTTTGCAGAAACCTGAAAATAAGATCATAAAGTTTTGAAAAATCGATATTAAAATGTATCTTTTTAATTACACCATACTTGTTATGCGCTTCCGGTGACGTCACATTTTTATATTTTCGATGACATATCTGAAGTTACTTCAATTCCAAAAGCAAAAGTGAGCAATTTTAGTCATTTTTATATTCTGCTGTATAAATTTTATGGAAAAAAATATGTTAGTAGATAAATATAATTGACTACCAACCAATCGATTATGCAAATGACAAAAGGTGTCATACAATTTCGCGATTTTATCCACAATTTTGAATGAAGAATGAGAGTCTATCTTTTACTCAATGTTTACTTTGTTTTCTTTTCTTTAAAACTACTTTTTCATTTGTACAGTTATCTAAAATGACACAGAAATAACCATACATTTTACTAAGAATTTAAAAGGAATGTTTAAGCGCAAGTTAGGTAATTTTTTTTCTTTTCTACAAAAGATCAAAATCACGAAAATCGCGGGATTTTTCCAAAATGTTTAATTTGACTTATTTCAAAGAGTTGTTCACGAGATGAAATGAAATTACATCTTACACAACAAACAAACATATTTTCTTTTTTATGCTATAAACGAGTTTAAATGAAATTTCCTTAATATTAATTTTAATGTTTATATCTGTTTTCCCCACTGGTAGCGTCATTTAAGTCGAGTACAAGAAGTCTTGAGCTAAAAAATAAGTTCGACAATCAACGTAAAATGGCAATGATGATATTTATTTTATTAAAAAGGTATGAATGATCGCTTGTTTACAAGTAAGAGAAAAATTCACACCATCTTACAATATTTCTGTTACTTACGGCGAATTTATATTAGACCTGGCTTTAGTAAAATAGGCAGCCGCCATTTTTAAAAGTTGTGTATTTCACGGGAGGAAAAAAATGTATTTGATTCAGAGGAATATCATGGGATTTGTTAGTCATACATCTTTTTATAAGAAAGAAAACTTATTTGAGGATTGTTAAAGACAATAAATAAGTGTTGACAGATGTGTAAACATTCAAAACGTGGCTAAGAAATTGAAACATATGAAATTGTTGAAACCGGCCTAACGAACGCTCGGTTTTTACTTATTCTTCGGGCTGATGTCTGATATTGCTTCTCTCAAGTTTTCATATTGCATTAGGCAGTTTTTGCTCGTAGGATACTTAAATATGACCAAATGTCTTCAAGAGCAGTTTTGCATGTGGAAGGAATTCTGTTTTTTTTTGTTTTTTTTTTTGCTTTTTTTGTTTTTTTTTTTTTTGTTTTTTTTTTTTTTTTTCAGACAAAAGAATTAGAGACGATATCTGGTGATTGCAAATTTAAATGAATTGAAATAAGGTTTCTTCTTTTTATTACCTTTGAAATTGTAGTTATTTATCAATTTCAGCTTTTTCTTTTCTCTAAACAGCTCTAAGAATGTCAAAATTGAAAGCAAAAATAAAATTGAGGTACCACATGGGGAAAATTTTAAAAAAGTAGTATCGTCATTGAAAAGTGTGAAATTATATTTTGATAATTTTCACTGTGAAATTATCAAATTTAATTTTCTCGGATAAATCAGTAATCAACTGAAAAGCATAAAATAAAATGTATTTACATGTAAATCATTATCATTTGTGTGAAATGCACTGAAATATTAAATTACATGAATATCAATTTAGAAAGATTCATACAACTACGTTTCTTGATAGAGCTAAATTATAAGAATATTAAATGGAATCTGACTTAAAGTAAAACAAAATGATTTTATCATAAGTGGTTGAGGTAATGTTTTATAACAGTCTGAATGATAATCATGTATAAATTATGCAGTGTTCCGAATGTGTTAAATTTAATGACTTTTTGTTTAAGTGTTTTAGATTAAATAAAACTTGTTTGTGTATTAATGTGTTAATGACATATTTGCGTAGAGTAACTGTTGTTTTTTTTAAGTTATTACAGATTTTTCTAATTGAAAACTCACATGATCTCAATATACGACATTTTTTTAATTTTATACTTCGATTATTTTAGGACTTTTTTCCTGTAGCAACACATATAAATTAGATGAGAAATATGCAAAATCTTTTCTGAAGGAATTTGTTCGCGGTTGGATCTTATATTTGGCTAAACTACCTAGCCTACATGAACAGGACCAAATTGGGTCGAATATTTAAATGAGAGCCAAAATGTATCCATAACTGACATGTCACTAAAACCAGATTATACCATTATTTTGTAAATAAGCAACATTATTTCAGTGCATTTCACACAAATGATAATGATTTATATACATTATATCTTATGTTTTTCAATGGATTACTGATTAATCAGAAAAAAATATGTTGTATATTGCATTATTTTATTTTTTTGAACATGACGTCGTTGCGTATCCTTGACAACTGTTACGGGTATTTCAACGCCATTGGCGGACAAAATATCTTAAATTCTACAGCATTCGACGGAAATTATTTTTTCTTTTAAGCTGATATAAAATTTATGAAAATTGCGGCTAAACTGAACGTCAAATTTTACACAAAACTGACAATTTTCTTTCCATTTCTCATACATTTCTCGGCGTAAAACAATAAATTTTATATCAGCTTAAAGGAAATGATAATTTCTGTCGAATGCTGTAGGATTTAAGATATTTTGTCCGCAAATGACGTTGAAATACCCGTAACAGTTGTCAAGGATACGCAACGATGTTATGTTAAAAAATGGGCTTTGATGGTCAACTTTGACGTCATGTGTACAAAAATTGGCTGAAACTATTGGAATAAAATCAACGGAATCAAATCAGAAATATGGTCAACTTTCTGCATGCCAATTTTCAAGACGCTACTCGAAAGTTCGCAAAGTGTCGCGTTCTACCTTAAATCAGATTGCCGAGTGTTTTGATGTTCTTTCTCTTTTGTATCATACTCAAACATAAAAACACGTTTCCTGTTGTCACAATATGAAACCCCGGGAAAAATTTAATTAAAACGAGCATCCGAATATGATATTTCTGTCGCTTTCCCTATCCCTGCGGTCACAATAAGTAAACCCCAGCAAAAATGAGCCAATCAATGGGCATGTTCTGGTGCGCGGGTAACTAATACCTGCACTGTGCATGTATATGTATACGATTTAACTCTGACAACAGAAAGGTCCCCAAACAATGATACAAGGCATTATTTTATTATATTTATAACAAACAGGTCGATATGAATATTCTGAATATTAAACAACGTACATTTAAAATACTTTGTCTCTTAATGGATGAGTGTGTGTCTTTAAGAGAGACAAATCTGCGGTGCAGATTTACTAAATACTGCAATATGGCTTTGAAGTTGTCCCCCTTTAACATTCTTTTGTAATTACATATGGTCAGAAAATGTGTGTTATGATTTTTATCTTTGTGATGTATATGAGTAAAATGTATAGATAAGACTGAAATAATTAAATACTTAACACTGATTGCAATGCATTTTTCTTTTGCAATACTGAAGAAGAAAGAAAATAAAATAATACTGCTTTATTACATATCGCCGACTATCGGGCAGCTGTTTGTGAGGAGTGGCCGGGAGATAACTTTTATTTGTCCCAGACAAATCTTGCCAGGGGACGGTTCTTGTCGGCCAGCTAATAAGTCAACACAGCATTTCCGTTCATGGCGAATAGCGAGGGCTACGAGGATGAATCTGCTGATGACTGTTCAAGATTTTACCAAGGTGATAGATAATTCCTACTTAAAGGACCAACAAGCCCTTCAGCAATATTTTTTATTATAACTCACGTAAACTCTTTACTTTGTTACATATATACATTGTATATATAAATATGTAAACGGACCTCACATGCTGTTATTTCGATCTATCATCCTAAAACTGAGTATCACCCGCTCAATTTTATTTTTGGCAATATTTCCCAGGGGCGAGTAGTTTATATATACTTAAGAAAACGTAATGTTCTAGTTCTCTCCCCTGGTCGCAATCGATGATGAACGGCGGCTCTCAGAGTAATTAAATGTTGGTTCGGTATAATAAAAAAAACACATATCTCTCAGTGTAATAGTGCATATTAGCATATTAGTCTAAAAGTACAGAATCAACCGTCTTTTAATATAATAGCAACAAGAGTACGATTAAGTTCTTTCATTTTAATCTGATTTAATCTACCTTACACAAACTTTTATATCTTTAATGATAGACTATGAACCAACATTTATACTAGTGCGTTGTATGTATAAATCCCTATATGACCGTACTCATTTCATAGTGCATTGCGATAAGAATTTAAAAACAAACTATTTGCTAACAAAAGAGCAAATGTCAGGCTAAATTATTTTATTCAAATTAAATGTCGTAGATGATAACATTTACTACAGCAGATGCATATGAAAAGTCTGAAAACCTTTTCGTGTATTTATTATTCAATCCACTTAGTATCAATTAACTGCAAATCTATAACCGGAATTTCGGCAAGAAGAAACAGTTACTTTAAATGCAAATCCTTACCGTTATTTGGGCACTTTTTAGCGAAAAGCTCGCGAGGGACGATAACAACAGTACGGGGCGTTTAGCGGTAGTTTTACAATCTTACGACGGTGACTTTACCGACAATATACATTATAATTACTCCCTGATTCATTTTTACAGGAGCGAGTACATGATTCTGTTATTCTACATTTTTATCACAATCATTATGTCCGTTTTCATTATTATGATGATGATACATCATCATCATCATCATCAAAGATATCATCGTTATCGCCTAAGATCATACCCTATGATTAACACTCGCAAAGCCCTTGTATGCAAATAGCTAGCAAGCTCGATTGACAGTTCTTTACATTTGAAGAGAGTGACATTATTCAGCAGAAGCTACTATAAATATAGTGTGACTTGTGGCATATCAGGTTTAGATACGGAGAAGCAAACAAATGAGCTGATGATTTAAGAATAAACAAAGCAATGAAATGAAACAAATTCTATTACCTAAATCAATTCTGTATAAAACAGTTAATAAATAGATATTGGTAAAAAATATGATAAACAAGATCAACAAGGAAAGGCGGCGTCCAGTGAACGCAACCCCCATATGACCCAGCAACAAGAACCAATGGCAAGGAGCCCAGGCGGACCCCAAACAAAAACAGGACAGGACAAAGGCAGAGCACGGACAGGTTAATCATTTAATGATAAATAATTTGTAACTGATTAGGAATTCAAAGAAAATAATATGGGAAGGGGACAGGAGACCGGGGGAAGGGGGGTTTAATCAAAGAAAAAAAAACTAGAGGCAATGGGGAAGATACTTACCGTAGACGAGAAAACAACAAGGAGGGACACAAGCAAAAGTGTCACCAAAACAGTATGAAACAACATAGACATACATCTGAGGAACACAGTGGGGCGCCGCCTTGGAACGGTCAGCAGCATAATAATGACTGCTGGGGAGTTTAAACCGGTTAATGGTGCACCAAACCTCGCTCTTAGCCCCACCATGTTCCTATAAACGAGACAGTGTAAATAAAATGAATCCCCGCCAAGTGAAATTCTAACAGTTGTCATGGTTACAAAAGGTTAAATAAGTAAAACACTAAAATGATCATGTAGAAACATATAAAAGTAAACCCAATGACCATAACAAAAGTACTCAATGTCCTAAAGGAAGACAGAGCAACAAGAAAATCACCTACAAGGGCCCGACGAGGCATCAAATATTTGTGAATTATATAATTTCATCCGCTTTATTAGTCATATGATTGGTCTACTTCTAAAATGTATTTAATTTTGTCTCCTGACATTGGGTATTTCACCATTTCTGTTAATCTTGATTTCCTTTACAATAATTGGTAACACTTCTTCATGTTGTCCTTTCTTAAAGAGTCTGTGAACTACAACAGTTGCAATCAGCATTGTTAGATTGACGAGTCCCATCACAAAGAAGGCGATACCCGGGTAGAAAGACACAGTTGCGCTGTATATTCCCATATATACTATAGATCCAATGAGTTTTGCGGCAATTTCAGTAACAGAATAAATTGAAAAGAATTTTCCTAGTTCCTCCTCTTCTATAACTTTGCTTAAAATTGATCTTATACAAATGATAAATGAACCACCAGATCCGATTACGTCATAGACGAACATAGTCCAAGTTACGGTGCTAAATCCTGTGCACACGTACCGAATTACCCTACAAAATAATCCTATTACAACGAGTTTTATATCGGATAATTTCAATATCTTTGAAAGGAATGGCAGTGTCAAAAATAGTGCTTCGCCCATTAAAATGTTATCAAAAGAAACAAAATATGAGTATAACGACTTTGTCCAATTGTAAGGACTTCTACTCACGAATAGGAGCATAACGTCAACAGTTCCTGTGACGTCACAAGTACTTAAGAATATAACAGAGAAAAGAATCAAGATATATAAATTGTTAAAACCTGTCCTCTTTCTTGTAAATAAGCCGGAGTATAATTTTAATCCCTCGAAAGTTCGGTATGATTGAACTGTTTTGTCTAATTCACAGTCATCTGGGTTAGTTTTTGTTTCAGAATTGTTATCCGTTTCACCATTTGCACAAGTTTTTGATATTTTATGAAAGTTTGAACATTTACCAGTCGAAGGACGCTTGGTCTCCTTGATAAACACTAGTATGATTATGACAGCAATACCATTGATTCCAATGACAGTAAAATATGGGACTAGGTCCCAACCGATAATTCCTGCCAAAAAGGCACCAAAACAATTTCCGAAGAAGTTCATTGAAAATAACATACCAGTGTGTTTTGTAATATTCTTCGCATCTGATATTTCAGCTATAAAGCAGTTGACAGCCATTGTTATAACTCCACCTTTCCCTGAAAGTCCCTGAAAGAAAGTACCTGCAAGTATGATCCAAACTGCGAGTGTGGGGTGTCCGATATACATACTTCCTATATAAAACGGTACAGATAATGTCAATCCAATGCACGTGAAAACCATCGGCAGTCTGCGACCATTTTTGTCACTCCAGGCTCCTAGGAACAGACCAGTAACAATGGCTGGAACGTTTGCAGCAACGCGATAGATGAAGAAATAAAGGCTTGCTTCTTTTTGAACACTATCTTCGTGGTCTGGATAGTTATGAAGATTCAGACATAATGAATTATTGTTGAATAAATGCTTCTTGCATACAGCGTTAAGTAAATACGGTCTAACGGTGGTGTCCAATAACATTTCCCCAGATTTGAAAAGAAAAAATACCGTCCCGATGTATATAAGTTGCATATTTTTCGTCCAAATGACTTTAAAGTTTGGATTTATCCTATAGAACAATTGCTTGTGTTTTCCCTTTAAATTTCAAAGGTATATACTATGTATATATACATGTATGAAAACATGTCACGCAATGAAATGTTAATTAAAATGAGGTTTCATTAGAGAAAATACAAAAGTGCAATAGAAATAATATTGTAAAAACATGTTTTGTTAATGCCTGTAAAATACATATTTTTTCCACTGAGTACAATTTGTTTCACGATGTTTTTTTGTTTGCTTTTTTTGTTGTTTTTTTTCATACTTTCATTCCGATATTGTACATATTTTAGATAACCGGTGAATCATCATTTTTTTTATATTGCACTTTCGCTTAACATTCAAGCAGTGCTTTTTATGTAAGAGGATGCGTGTATACATATAAGTACTGCTATAATTTAAAAACTACGAATTGTATTAATTAAGGAATTTTATTACAGTTCATTATTGAAATTATAAAATATGTACAAGCAGAATATCATGAACATTTATTTTTTAAACTAAATGTATATAACTACTGATAAATTGCAAACAAACAGTATACATGTATTAATAAATATGATAAAAGAAATCATATGTTTAAGATATATGTATAATAATGTTTTTCAGAAGAGCAATAATCATCCATTGGTCTTTGTTTTAATGTAACATACAACCTACTTTAGTGCGTTTAAAATTAGCAACAACCTTACATATATGAGCGAGGAACAAATTCCAAATGGTTTAAATGAAAACCTTTGGGCAATACCGTGAAAACCTTTGGGCAATACCGTGATAGAAATTATCGCTGGGTTACAAACTTGACTAAAGTCAGAAATAAGCTTATCACAGCAACCACGACAGACGGTGTTTGAAACTTGGCGCTATTCCTACTTTCTTCACTTTTTTCACCACTGTCACAGGTCAGCTCTCCAGAATATTGTTGAAACATGATATTGTCTACTGGACCGCATGCTGAATAACTATGCCAGACTTCGTACAGATTCTTTGCTAAAATAGCCATGGATTCCGTGCAGTTTTCAGTGACGTCAAAGGAAATACATGATCGAAATCTAGATGTTGCTCTGTAAAAAAAAAAACATCTTATGTTAAAGACAGCATGAAATCTTACTCCAAAATGAAGAAACATATAATATATATATATATATAATATACGATGTAGCAAAAAGAGGAAAGGAATGTCATTTATGTATTGTAAATTACAGTACTTAATTATATTATTGTCGTCCAGTAACAGAAGGTGGAAACAAGTTTTAAGTGTGACTCAAAGCGGATAAATACACGAGTATATGTAACGTAAAAACAGAATTAGTAACATCTTTGAAACAAACATGTTACAGTTAATAAACCTTACCCACAAACAAGATTTTTGTATTCGGAAAATTGTTCCGCGTGTATGTACATCTGTGCCGACGTCATAGATTTTGCTAATGTACGCAAGCATGAAGTGTCTCGCATTCTACAGTGTTGAATCGTGGAAGCGAACACTGCAATGAGTTACAAAGACATATCATTATTTTTATTTACAAATTTAATATACATCAGTTTCTGCGTTAAGGTACCTGTATTATCATTTATCTTTTGAGTATACAGCTGTATATAAATACTTTCCATGTTGTTCTTTGTCATAGTGTGATATTGTAGTTTGCCATCGCCTATATATGAGCCACGCCATTATAAAACCAACATCCGCGCAGTCTGATCAGGATCCATGCTGTTCGCTATCACTTTCTCTACTCGAAATAGGGTTTGTAAGCGGACAGCATGAATCCTGATCAGACTGCGCCCATGCTGGTCACAAACGCACTATGTTGGTTTTGTCACGTCGCGGCTCATATATAGTATACAAGTTTGTAATGTAAAAGTAATTGTAAAATGGTCGCGTATATTAACCCATTAACACAATAAAGTAATTGAATTTTAAATTTAAGAGTAAGTTGACAACAGAAGTACGGGAGGGTTTAACTGAAGAAATGAAAAACATTTACCGTTAATATTGTCGCATGTTGCTCTGGTGGATATTTTTATAGTTTCAGGGTCAATCATCACAAACTTGTTCTCTTTATGACAATCCCCAATAGCCTGTGTGTAGCATTGGCTTGTGCATTCAATACTTTTAAAATAGAAGTGCATTTATTAATTCATTAACGGTTAATTATCTATAAACTCTAATTTATTTGTACTGAAGAAGTAATTCTGAAAAAAAAATATGTGTTTAATTTAATAACTTAAGTTTAAAAAATATGTACTTCACCAAGTTCTGTTTCATAATTTTTTCTTTATTGCAATAATGTATTCAAATAAACGAATTGACGCTGTTATAAATGACATATGTGTCACATCTGTTAGGTTTATATTCTGTTTGTTTCTTAAATAAACATTGGCGTTTCACAATAAACAGAAGGATACTATCATATTTAAAAGTTACCCTTTACCCTGACAAAATAAATCACACACATGCACTCACACACTCACACATACATACACACTTACACACAAAGAAAATACATACTCATCACATATTTCTTGAATTGCAGATTGGTTTTGCTGCATAAAAGTTGTCATGGTGATCGGCTTACATTGCGACATTCGTGACGTCACACTTGATGTAAAACATCTATTTGTCTGAAGTGAATTTATAATTTACATAATGAAATTTCAATGTTTTATTGTCTATTTTTTATAGTTAGGTCTTTAAAAGAAACATTCGTTATTTGTAAAATTAGTCTAAGGAAGTGTTGTACATACTAATGTCAATGGTTCTGAAAAAATGTTGAAATAAAATTAACTTTAAGATTAATTTTACAAAGGAGCTTGACATGATCTGATGATAAGTATGTTAATGTTTAACCATAATTCAAGGGCAGACATCCTTATAACTAACTTTCATAACAGCAAAGCATGGGTCGAAATCCCATCAGGGGCAAGCCGTTGTTTCTTTGAGCAAAACACCTTCATACTGGTTGGTTCCAGGAACGAACTTTTGAGTGTTTAAAAAAAACTTATAGCTTCTGACTAAATCGAACTCAAATAAATCCGTATAAAACTAAAACCTGTTATTAAAATTTTCAAAATAAATAAAACTAACGGGGTTTTGACACTTGATTTCACCGCCATATTTCTTAAATAAGGCATTTTCTTGTGATATGTTACACTGTGACAATGAGTGCTTCAAAATTGCAATTGTCGTTTGAAGTTCCGCCATCTCAGCCGTGCAGTTTGCGTCATGTTGCACAGTTATACAAGACACCGACCTTGCAGACAACCTAGAATATAAAGAATGAGTTTTTTAAGTTAAAAAAATCGGTATTAAAGAGTAATAAATTAGCATGTACATATATGTCTATATATTTGCTACAGTACTATTTAGCCCAATTAACAATTGAATATATATGATAGTTCAAGCATATACGTTTTACTTTCAGTAAATGTTCATTTTATCATACCATAACATATTTATTTCTTGAATTTTATACTTAAATAATTAAACGACAAATGCTTGTTTTCATATAAAACAATAACTGTGTACCGGAAGCTTTAAATGATTCCCTCATTACTAAATACATTACTCGCGAAAACCGGTTCTTTCTTCTAATTCGTATCTATGCCATAATGTCAAATTCTTTTCAACACAAATACAATGTATTTGATGATATTTGCCTAGGTGCACACATGGAAACCCAATGTTCATCAACGATATAAGAATGTCAGACAAAAAAAGCAAACAATGTTTACCTGCATTCAATTTGTTTCGTTTTTAACTCTTGCGACATGTTAGTCGTCGCCAACATCATATCTATCTGTTCTTTATTGAACGTTTCATCAACGCATGGTACTTTAAAGTCGCAATTTTCTTCAGCCAGGCGTGTCACTGAAAGAAAAATAGCTCTTTAAATTATCTCCTGTTAAATTATAACGAACAATTTGCATATTTCCAAAAAAAAATATTGAACACCCGCGAAATAAATTGAACTTGCCAAGCATAAAAACGATTGCAATTTATGGCCAATACAGTATATAATAACAGTGCAATTTGAGATGAAACATTAATGCAAGACTTCATCAGAAAGACATCAAATAGGTAGAAAGTAATACAATGTACTAATAAGTATTTTTAGGTATTCGTTATACATTTTTCAGGCATTTTTAACATACGGCGGAACAAAATTATGGATTTTCTTTCAAACTTACATGTTGCATTTAAACATCTTACTCTGTAAAGTGCTTTATAAACTTCGATGTCCTCTTTAAAATGGTGGATTTCATTACTACAGTCGCCAATGGCTTCTTTTAGACATTGAAGATAACATTCAACACTGAAATAACATAAACTATCATTATTCAACGTAGGATAAGAGTAAGACCCGTTTTTTTACATAGAGATAAAAATAGACCTTTCCTATTTCTTTTTATATAAAGTTCGGTAGCTATATTTTCCTAAAGCGGTGATTTCAAAATAAGTACTGTCTAAAATGCGACCAGTACAAACCATGATCGGATTGTACTGGTCGCATAGGTTGCTTTAGTTGTCGCCAGCGGACTAAGAGACGAAAACAGACATGTACATTATTCACATCATTATCCCTTCGCTTTTTCATTGATACTTGGTGTTTGCGAGCGTGGAAGGTTTTGCATTTTACGGAACATATTAACTAATTTTGTTTGGCTACACTATGAAGAAATATATAAACTATTATTCAGCTTCCGCCTAATAAGTACATGACACAGTATATCACGTGTTAAATGTGGTCAACATGTATGTTAAAACATTCATTATGTCAAATATTTCTGTGACAGCTTTATATTGTGTATATTTAATTAAAAAAACCTTATGATTCAAAACCGGTGTATATATAGGTGAGGTCCTTTACCATATGCCTTTTTTCTTGAAAATTAGCCATCATGTGTCATCTTTGTAGTAAAACAATTATATATGTAATTAGAAATCTACATAAAAGTTCACATTGCTTTTATCTTAAATGTTAAATGCAGCCCACAAAGAGAACATACCCTATAAGATGCGATTCGACACCTCGTGTTTATTTCAAATTACGAGATTATACTTATTTTTTATCTTATTTTAATACTATAAACCACTGCAATAGAAAAATGTGGTAATTCCTTTGCGATACTGAAATTTCAAATGTTACAAATGAACAGAATTTATATTATTAAATAATTTCCTTCTTACTTTAAATACTATAAACAACTGCTGCAATAGAAAGATGTAATAATTCCTCTTTCGTATTCATGGTTACATGATTCAATGTGCCAGCTAGATTTGAGCCGCGTCATGATAAAACCAACATAGTGCGTTTGCGACCAGCATGGATCCAGACCAGCCTGCGCATCCGCGCAGTCTGATCAGGATCCATGCTGTTCGCTATCAGTTTCTCTACTTGTAATAGGGTTTGTAAGCGAACAGCATTGGATCCTGATCAGACTGCGCGGATGCGCAGGCTGGTCTGGATCCATGCTGGTCGCAAACCCACTACGGTGGTTATGTCGTGACGCGGCTCATTTCATCGTTAGTATAGCTAGGGGCTAAGCATTCCGGTGTCATACATGTATCCAAATCAAAATGACAGGCTTATGAAATACTCATTTACGGGAAGTGTCATAACCTTACTTTGACACCATTTTTTATCAAAAAGAGGTCCTTACATTCACCTTTCTAAACATACCATTTAAAAAGGGAACAACGTATATTTTTAAATGAAAGGATTCAAGTATATTTTTTTTTCAGAATTTAGAATCAATACCCAAAATAGATTCTTTAAAAGCCATTTATCTTGTTAACAAATAAATGGTAAAAATGGTAAAAACATATAATAAGTAAAATAACTAACGTTTGACTTATACAACGTCAACTGTATAATTTCAAATATAATCAATTTATTATAGAAACATGTCTTGGACTTGTTTTTTACTCGGCCAGGTTTAACAAAAATTGCCGATTTTTTTTTATAACTTTATCTACTGTAGCCGAAAACAGTGCTTTTGGGCATACCATCTTAGTTTTAATATATATATTCTGCCGTGAAATAGTTACATTTGCTGAAGCAATACATGTGGCAGAATATAATTAAAGTGAGTACTGAGATTTTACAAAATAAATGCCATTAGTTTCGGTTCAATGTCTTAAGTTTAAGAAAAGTAGTTGCAAATCACAGCAAGGCGAAAAGTGAGGCGTTATATGCTGTATTTACACGGTAATATGATCGCGTGATACCATATGATAGATAGCATTTGTATTTAACAGGAATTACTTTTTTAACTTTTATAATAGATATTCCTGAAACCATTATCAATAATAATCGAAATTGATAACAAGAAAGCAATTTATATATAAAATATTTTTAAGCTAATAGAGTATTGAAATCAATATCTGAACAAAGAACAGTTCAGCTATGAATATCTCACTTTTCACATATAGTGTCAAAGTCGCCATGGTGGTCCCCCAGCATAAACGTCATGACATTCGTGTTTTGCTGCTTCAACTTTGGCTATAGAACAACGATCATCGGTGGCCCTTGCATTTAGTCTGATGGTGTCTGCAATAAAAATGATAATTTGTGTCTGATATAATAAATGATAATTCGCCACAATTTCAATTGTTCAATATTTATGTATGTTTATTATAGCAAAAAGATTATAGTGAGAGGCGGCATGATGGAGTGCGTCGGAATATTTATCAAAGATCGCTTATCGCGTGGGGTTCAAACCCAATCAGTGGCACGCCGTTGTTTCCTTCAGCAGGAAATTTTACACGCATCGTTCAATTATATAGGAAAAAAACCGGAACAGATTCGAAAGTGTGTCCATAAGCTTATAGCTTCCTACACACTCGAATTAAAGGGAATTCTTTATAAACCAAGCCTATAGAATTTATTTTTTATTTACGCAAACAATATTTTTACCATTAAATCGTGTCATGTTAAACGATTTTCCTGTGACGACATATCTAAGACACAGATAAAATTAACAATTCTCCATATCGTTAATGGTACAATGTTATTTTACAAATCATAATTTTTGTTTCAAATATGTTATCAAAATATATATAAAATTATGTTTTCAAGTTACATTGAAATGCGTTTTTCATAAAATAAAACGGCAAAATAAAAACAATATTATGAAACTTTATGCAAACAAACCGATTTTGATTAACACGTCCTCATCAATTTCATTATAAAATTCTATGCAACATATTTTTAAAGATTTTTACGATGCATACCTTTTTTCTTTTAAAATCCCATATCAAATCTTTTATCATGAAGAATAAATCATTTCGGAAATCGACAAGAAGAGCTTTTGTATGTTTTTGAACTTTGTTGTGTTATGCTATTTGGTCATAATAACTTTTGTTTGGGGTTTGACAAAAATTGTACAAAATAATTAGACAAACTTACATGTTTTCAAATTATTAATATTATTTGTGTCTTATAGGCCCATTAAGCCGGGTGTAAGTTCATGTATTGTATGCCCATTGTTTTGTATGTTTACATATACATATGACACAATATACTTTATTATTTAATTTTACCCATGAAATATGGTGCTATATCAGTCAAAAATATTTCATATTTTTTAAAAATAAATACGAAATATAATTTTGAAAGTGGGCGGAGGCCAAAGTCATATTTATTTTAAGAGACTTCTTTCGCCATTTTGTTTGAAAAATCTGATAAATACAAAACAACTTTTTGTTGAATTTTGTTTTGAAAACTATCTAGAATGATATAAAATGGTCTAACTAAGAAAATAAATCCTAACACCAATATCTTTAATTCAGTCATTAACGCTGTACAGACGTTTAAAGAGTGGTTTACGTGAAGTCACAATGTAGCGCTAAATATCGCGTGCAAAACAAGACAATTATCAAAAACATGTACTGCGCGCTGTACAATTGCAGTTGTGTAGCAAGCAAGGGGGTTCGTAACCATTTTTTTTATAATGAAATTAAATAAAAAGGTTATTTTATCGTTTTTCGTGAAAAATAAGATATATTTTCACGAAACATGATAAAATGCCACATATTTTCACTCGCCGTCCTGGCTCGTGAAAATATGTGGCATTATATCATGTTTCGTGAGAATATATTCCATATTTCACTCAAACGAAAAAATATCCTCTTATTATTTATTTATTTAATTACTTAACATGTACAGTTATTTTTATATTTTATTAATTAACATAATACGTATTTATCAACATATTAAAATTAATCAATTATCTGATTATTAAAACAGAAAAAATATACTTACGCAGCATCAATATATAAATACCGATTGCTAGTTTTTCCATGTTTTATATCGTTAAATAATCTAATTTGGTATCTGTCTAAAATTTACAAAAATGAACAAAAACGCAATTATTTTGTGAGCAATAAGTATGTTTCTAAATCACTTAATTACGTCACGTTTTCAGCTGTTGATAATATGAAAATATATAAACATCATAAAAAGCTTCAAATCCGCAAATTATTAATGAAATATCAAAAGATAAAGTCAGACCAAACAAATCAAAATACCAAAATAATATGTCACGGCCGCAAAAATATATTCTTTCTCGCATTTTATAAATAACAAGTTGTATACATACATTTATTTTAAGCGACCTTTTAGTTCACTGTGGGAGTTGATAAATGGTTGTAACATTGATGTTGTCTTTGTCAACGTCAAGAATTTGCCCATTTAATACACCTTTATCATGAAGGAAAACTCCTTAATTACTTCTTTCATCCTTGCCCGAGATGCACACATTTGTAGTGCATCAACCGCTACTTAACTTCCCAGGTAAAGTAATCTTTGTTGTGGAAACTAAAATGTTTATTTGCTTCATCAACTTAAAATCAAGATTCATATGGTTGCGTGATTTGAAACATAGCGTGTGTCATAACATTTGAAAAACTAATGAATTTTTTTGCTATTCATGTAAAAAATTATAAATGCACGCTTAGAATTAAACTGATTTTTATAAGTTCAACCTAGTTTCAACAAGCAGGTGTGTCAAGCAGTTTACTTCTTGGACACGCTTAATTATAAAAAACGTTAGCTTGACTTTAAGTAATGAAATGCAAAAATGAATTTAAAAAAACGTAAATGAAGATATCTAAATACATTTTGTATCTCTTTACTACATGATGATATAAGATTTTTTGGAAATTGCTCTGAAAACAAATGTAATTTATTATTATACTAATAAATGAAATATTGAAAAATATTAATTTAATAAAATGTTCAATTTCCGCATTTCCACTGTAAAAAAAAACATATTTCACTGCAGTGAAACATATTTTCCGTATTTCACTGATGTCTTGTTGGACTACTTTCTTCTAAATTCAGCCAATATACAAAATCTAAGCGAAAATCCTTCAAATTGTAATGTCAAAAAGACAAACATGTATATACTAAACAGAAAATTCAAGTTGTTTTTTTTTCATAAATACCACCACTCATTAATATTTATTTTCATACCACGCGATGAAAATAAATACTGTATTAAATAAAACCTTATTTATTATACAGAGGATTTTAAATGAATGTAGGCTGTATAACGAATTCATTTCTCACGATAGCTCCAAGCTAGCATGATGTCATGTTTTATTTAATGGGGATAATAGATGTAGAAATGAACTTGCACGAATAAAATATTCTATTAACCACATACATTTCGTATGCTTAATTTTTGTAAGTCCACATCATTGCGAATAGCTAACGGTAGAATTGGTGATACCAGTTCGTTCACATTTTTTAACCAACGATCATGTAGTACAATTGACTATTTGGTTTTGAATGATAAAGATTTTAAGCGGATTAATACATTTCAACTGTTACCGTTTAACGAATACAGTGACCATGCACCACTCTTCTTTGAAATTGATATTAATTCTTTGATAAGTAGTCAAAATATAAATGATTATGAAAATACCTCGGAGTATACATTTTATAAATGGTCAGATGATCACAAGATAAACTTTAGACGTGATATCATTTCAAAGCTTCCCGAGTTTAATGCACTTCTACTTAGTAACGGTACATCGGAGAGCCTTTCTATTGATAATTTAGTTGAGGGTTTTTCCTCGTTGATTGAAGAAGTGGCCGAACCGTACTTTAAACATTCGCGGATATCATGCAATATGCATTCTACATCATGTAATAAAGAGTGGTTTGATCGCGAGTGTGTAGAATCAAAGAAACTGTATATTTTAGCGCTTAATTCATTTAATGGAAACAAATCAATAGATAACAGACAATTACTTTTTGAGCGTAAACGTTCTTATAAACTTTTAATGCGCAAGAAAAAAAGAGTGTTTAAGACTAAAAAGTCGCGCGAATTATGCGAACTTCGTAAATCAAAACCAAAGCAATTTTGGAATCATTTTAAGTCAAAACCTGAAAATTGTTCAAACGATGTAAAACCTGAAGAATTTCGTGAATATTTTTCTAGCTTGTTCAATGATATAAGATCTACACGTATAGAAGATGTAGAAAGTTTTATCTCTGAAACAGACTTTAATATAAATAACCCATCTTTTGAATGCCTGAATACGCCTATTACGTCTAATGAAATACTAATGGCAATTAAAGATCTTAAGCGAAATAAGGCACCATGTCCTGCCGATAATTTATTAAATGAGTTTTTCATTGAGACGTCCGACATACTTATCGGTCATATCACTGACTGTTTTAACACTATATTTAATTCCGGTCATTTCCCAAAAGTATGGTCTTATGGTTATATCGTACCATTATATAAAAAGGGAAATAAGAGGGTACCGAATAATTATAGAGGAATAACATTAATTAGCAATTTTGGTAAATTATTTACAAAGGTATTAACAAAACGGGTTGAAAATTGGGCGCGTGATAACAATATACAGTCTGACGCACAATTCGGTTTTCGTTCAGGTGTAAGCACCGTTGATGCAATTTTTGTTTTGCACTCTTTAGTGGAACGAATACTATCCCAAAATTCACGTCTTTATTGTTGTTTTATTGACATTAAAAAAGCCTTCGATTCAATTTATCGTAATGCTCTTTGGTATAAACATTTTAATCTCGGACTAGATGGTAAATTGATCAGGATTTTTAGAGATATGTACTCTTCGGTGTCTTCCTGTGTTAAGCACTGTAATACTTTGTCAGACTTTTTTGATATTTCTATTGGTCTAAGGCAGGGCCAAAATAATTCACCGATTTTGTTTGCTTTATTTCTGGAAGATCTGGAACAATACTTAAGGAATGATGATAATAATAACGATAAGGGTTTCACTTTTTATGATATATGTATGATTATTTTACTTTTTGCCGACGATATGGTCATATTTGGAAAGTCAATTGAAGAATTGCAATCGAATCTAAATAATTTAAAGCTTTATTGTGATAAATGGGGCCTAGAGGTCAACACAGATACAACTAAAACAATGGTTTTTAGGAAGAGGGGAAGCATCAGAGAAAATGAAAAATGGTCATACGATAATACTTTATTAGAGACTATTGATAACTTCAACTATTTGGGTGTAGTCTTTAATTATACGGGGTCTTTTCAACTTCATAATCAGTATGCTATAGGAAAAGCTATGAAAGCCCAAAACGTTTTACTTCGTAATATTAACAAATATGATGTCACCCCTTCCGTTTCACTCCAACTCTTTGATGCATTTGTTTCCTCAACATTAAATTATTCTTGTGCAATATGGGGTTTTACAAAATCTAAGGATATAGAAAGGATTCACTTGAAATTCTGCAAGTCATTGTTAGGCGTAAAACACAGTACATGTACTGCAGCAGTTTATTCGGAGTTAGGCCGATATCCTCTTTATGTTCAAAGATATGTCCAAATAATAAGATTCTGGTTACATATTCTTCATTCAAATAATAATATCTTAAAGTCTGCTTTTTATTCATCAATAAGTCTTCATGATAATGGATATAACTCTTGGGCAGCTAAGGTTCATTCTATTTTAAATGAATATGGATTCACAGATGTATGGCTCAACCCATTGCAATACAACCCAAAAGAGTTTGTTGAAATATTCAAACGTAGATTAGTTGATTGTTTTATACAAAAGGTAAACGCAGACATTCAGTCTAGTCCACTTTTGTCTTATCTGTATGTACATTTGATTGACAAATTTGAACCTGCATTTTATCTTGATAATTTATTCATTAAATCCTACAGACAAAATTTATCTCGTATTAGATTATCTTCTCATAAATTAAAGATAGAGGCAGAAAAGTATGGTCCTAATAGAAATCCACGTTCTGGAAGAAAATGTGAATTATGTAATCTTCAAGAAATTGAGGATGAATTTCATTTTATTATCATTTGCAATTGTTATACTGCATTACGTAGGGAGTTCATTAAGCCATATTTTTACAGATGACCGAGTATGTTTAAATTTTTGCAGCTTTTGAAGTCAAAAAATAAATCCGAATTAATTGGACTTGCTAAATACATCATCTTTGCTACTAAGCGTCGATATGACCTTATTAATATTACCATTTAAAGACTATTTTTACCAGTATGCGCATGATAATTTTGCTCATTAAAAAGCGACAGTATGGTATTTATCATGTAATTTTAATCGTTGATTCACAACATATTAAATATATGAAAGTCATTTTTGCAACTTTTTAATAAGAGTAATGCCAACTTTGTATTGTTTAAATATGGATTTAAGAACATTCTCATTATATACTTTTGTTTAACACTGTTTGTTTTCAATATGATCGTACCATGACTTATGATTTATGTATTACGTGTTTTGTATTATGACTATGTACAAATATGTATACGTCAATAAATTATATCTATCATAAAAAGAACTGTGTATCGCTAATATTTAGCGCGTTTTAACGCAATGTTTTTAGAACGAAAATGGCGTGACGATAAATATTATACATGTATTCACCCGTTTTTTTGCAGAGTGGCATGGTTATGTGATAAAACTAACATATATATGTTGTAATGCATTCTTTTGTATTTGACTTTTAATACTTGTTCGAGATGTACCTAAATTTTTATGCAGATCTGGACAAATAAATTGTGTGCAAAAGTTTTAGGTGTTTTGAACCTCAGTGGATTTCATTTGAGTCTTTTCTATTCTTTTCATTTACTCATATTCTTGCTATATTTTCATTTATAATAGACAGTAGTATTGTCAGAGGTTACATGTAAGTTTAAGTATTGAAATAGCCTAATGTGAGTTTAGTGCATGGCAAGGTGATAGGGAGAAATGAAGTATATGCGTATACTGGAAACAATAACAAGTTGCATGTATTTGTTATAGAATTGGATATAGATTGCTTTAAATCCTATAAATTTATATCGCCACAGGAATTAATTTGTGAGTTGTTTTTTGGTTTGTGTGAATGTCTGCTCTCTGTACGTATGTATGTTCGACTTCATCTGGATCCGTCTGAACTTCATCATGTTTTTACTATTTTTTATTACTTGAAAGAAATGAAAAAAGTAAAATTCATGATATTCCGTATCATTTTTTTTATCATTTTTGCAATAATTTCCCGTCAGATCTGTTAATATCATTGTGGTTCTTATTTGGCTCCACAAGATGGTGTGTATACTTAACAAGCATTAAGCATGACGATTTATTGTGTGCTATACATGTTTCATACACGTTCTAAAAACAAGAATTTTTAAAAATGATTAAATAATCAATTATTGACTAGTGTGCCATTGAATATTATGTGATTTTCATCGGCATAAAGGCCTATTGCCTCG